CAACAATCAGACGACTGACGGACAGACGGACGGACGAACGGATTTTTTGTCTTTGCTTCCCTCCACTACTATTTTTCCGTGAGGAACATGTTCCTCCATATCGGCTTAGTAATTTCCATCACTTCCGAAGTGTCATTACAAGCATGTTCACTTTCCATATAATTTAAAATAAAAATCTTTTTTAAAAAATAGGTACAGCACGTAGGTTTGCAACACGCTGTTGGAAAGAACTGCAGCTTTGGTAGATGCCGTTTCTTCGCTACCAGGCTTCCACCTATGTGCCAAAATTTTGCAGTGAACTGGGACATCGATCTTCTTCGCAGTCCCACAACGGAAGCTATTTCTTACATATTTGTTTACTCCCTTAATTATTTATTTGATTCCTTGACTCCATAATTACCTCCTTACTTGCGTAATTATACACCAACGCCCTTTCTTACTGACCTACGCACCTACCAGCCTGCCTACTTGCTTACTTCCCTCTTTTTTAGTAATTTTTCTTCTTACTTACAAAGATCCCTCCCACTTGCATCACTACCTATTTATTTTCTTATCTACTTGACTATTCACTTCTTTAATTGAATACTTGCCTGTGTACTTACTTTCTTACTAGCTTACTTAATTACTTACCTACTTATTTGCTTAATTAATTATTTATTTTGAAAAACGCAGTTTTGCTCGTAAACCCATAAGATCGGTATTCGATTTTATAAATAGATATGCTACCAATAATGGCACATCGGCTAATTTTCAAACAGGCTCTTATTCGTCCCTGCCCATTGCTGCGCTTTTGCGTCCTTTTACTGCAAGTGCCGAAACGCCATAAAGCAGTGGCCTTCTTAAATGATTCCCTATGTCACTAGAGGCAAGAGGACGGTGGCCCTACATTGTTTACATCCGGGATTAGCCGCAAGTTTCATTTTTGTCCGGCGGAATCGAAAACTATCAGTTATGCTTGTAAATCCGCAAGGTCAGTGTTTAATTTTACACCTAATCATTTCTTTACTTGATTGCTTACTTATGTAGATACATGTTGCTTATTCACCTCTCTACCCGCTTACCTACCTTCTTACTAACATATTTGGTATTTGCGAACTTGATTACCTACCTACCACTCTACTCGCTTATATACACACATATGTATTACATACTTACCTACCTACTTACTTGGTTGTTAGCTAACTTATTTATTTGGCTATTTGCATATATACATTTTAGTTTTCGACATGCTCTGCTTTTTATTTACAAGTTTACTTGCATATTTAAGTACTTATCTTCACTTATACTCAATTACTTACATACTCTCTCCTGTGGGCCTTCGTTTAAAGAGCTCAGTTGTACTTTGGATGTCATTAACTGGAACGCATTATTCACTGCACGTTACCTGTAATTATGTGGAAGCATAGAATGCCATGGGATGTTTTCTCATGCAAAAAATGGTACCGTTTTACTCCAGATAGATGAAAGACAATTTTTGCAATCTATGGTTTATTGTTCCGTTGCCCTTCTCTCAGTCGATCTCCCATACTTGCCAGCCTTATATACTCACTTTTAAATTTCAATTACAGATATCTCTAATGCTAGCAGTTCTTTGTGGCCTGGAACATATCATGTTCCTGAACATCAAAATGCAGGGTATATCGAAATAGAGCAATGCTCGGACTGCAGTCTTCAATGCGTAACACCCATAAATTATGTACGTTGTAGATAATCCATGTGTTGCACAAAATGACTTGATAAAGTCGGTGGTACATTCTCCTTAATCTGTGCGAGCTCTGAAACATTAGGAGCAGGGCATGTTGCTATTACCATCATCGTCCCATTGCACCAATAACATCAGTCCAGATAAATGATGTCTACTGATAGACATTTTATTTCAGATGAACACTAAGCAACATCCACTGTAAAAGTCAAATTTTTCGTCGAAGGAGGGATGTCCTCAAAACGTGCCCTCAACAAGGTTGTATGGTTGATCATATTTTACTCTCTCAAGGTTGATCCCTTGTCGGCAGGATATAAGGCATAATCTTATTCTGCTTTTGTAGAGTAAATTCGGCTGAGAGATCGTGACTTGCCCCCCTGCTTCCTTGCCTTTTACCCATTGGGTAGGGATCCTCTTTAGCGCGACGCTGATTTAGTGGCTTCTGATATCTCTCACATGGTTCACAACATTGTCTATGGTAACATTCAGTCTCTGTGCAACAAACTGTTGTCTCAATGCTTGCTACGAATTTTCTCTAGCGAATCAGCTGCGTTAATGTGTTTCTCAGAAAGGAGCTGTGTCGAAGGCTGATGAGCCGAGCCTCAACGCGTATTTTGGAACAGAGACGTCAGGCAATACCACTTGTACTTACTCGGTGGATTATGATCGCTTTTCAGTTTGCTTCTGTATTACTTTGTTATTTCGGTTCTGCACTGCTTTCACGACAGTAGTTCTATGTGTCTGGATGCAATTTTACGTTTCAAAATACGTGCCTCTTGAAATGTAGAGGCAAATGGCTCCTCTGGAGGCGAAAGGCAAATGTTCGAAGTGGAAACAAGGATTATTCAATTTACTAAGACTTACCGTAAGACAGAAAAACTTATACATCCCAATTATTCACTAATGTTGAGCCATTTAGCAATTGTTTTCAGCAATCTAAAACCAAGTGTACAACGATGAACGTGACGCAACTGATATGATTGATTTAGAGCATAGAGGACGCGGGAAAGTTAGAAGCCGGATAACATAGAATGAGGAAAGTGGTTACTGTGGGATAAGATGCACATCAAACTAAAGGTAAGGCGTACAGAACGACAGTAAGAACGGTACTTCTGTACGGAGCGGAATACTTCATATACCTGAAGAGACTCCAGCAGCAGCTGAACTCGGTAGAATGCTCAGACGGGGTGGTGGTGTCAGCAGGAAGGGCCACATCCCGGTTACCTTCATAAGAGACACTTTACATTTAGCACAAATTTCACAGAAACTATTCGAAAGCAGACGCCGTTGGTTCGGTTATGAACAAGGAATATTCGACGAGTGCTTTGGAAATGAGGTCCAAGCGGACATACTCTAAGTGGAGAAGAGAAATAAACGACCAAAGTAGAGGTGGTGGTGAGATGTCGCTGAGGACGAGAACGAGTGACCGAACATTTGAACAAATACCGAAAAATCCGGAAGCTGATGTCCCCTGTTTAACAGAACATGCTAGGCAAAGGATATTCTTTGTCTCTCTTACTCCCTACAGAGATGCTCTTTTAAATTGTAGCTATTCTCTTTGACGCTGCGCCTTGTGTGTTGAAAGAGAATGCATTTTCATGATTCCGTTTAAGCAGTGCATTTACGACTTGGATCGAGCACCTTCGCTTGCATTGCTGTCTTTCCAAATCACGATGATGTCATTAATCTGCCAAACGAAGATACACTTCCAAAACAGTTTGCTCAGTGCTACAGCATAGCGGCTGGTCAGCAGCCAGTGCCGATATGAAAAATGCAAAGCTCACTCTGGGGAGGCCTCCCTCCGTTCCAAACGTATGATATGTTTTTAGTGGTCTTCGGCTGATAAACGCTAGACTGCGTTGACGCGATCAAGTTTATTATCGTCATGCCGGTGATCTACTGCCCAAAAGACAGTCCTGCCGTGTGTTAGGCCGAGAAACTCATTCATCCTCCTCGTGATTAACACAGTGCCGTCCTTGTACGGTAAATCTAATCGATATCTTTGCAGTACTTGAGTGTCAGTTGCTATCAGG